GTGGGGAGGAAGGCGATCTCCGCGTCTTACTCTTCCGCCATCTTCAAGGTCCCCCCCTTGACCGTTTTTAAATGTATAGTGCAGTAGTGTTAAGTATAATCACACTGCTGTGCAATGACTCTGCAAATGTTTTTCATCTTGTAAAACCGAAACTCTAAACCCATTAAACAACAACCCCTCATTCTCCCTCCCCACAGCCCCTGGCAACCACTATTCTACCTTGTCTCTATTAATTTGGCTACTTCGGACACCACATGTAAGTGGAATCATACAGTACTTGTCCTTTTGTAACTGGCTTATTTCACTTAGCACAGTGTCCTCCAGGCTCACCCATGTTGTAGCATGTGTCAGAATTTTCTTCCTTTTTAAGACTGAATAGTATTCCATTATATGTACATAACACATTTTGTTTTTCCATTTATCCACTGATGGACACTTGGGTTTCTTCTACCATGTAGCTGTTTCTGCTGGCAATTTCATACATATATAATGAATATATATAATGAATATATATATATAATGAATATATGTATAATGAATATATATATATTATATATATAATGAATATATATAATGGATATATATATATTTCTTGTTTTATTGAATTTTTAAAATACACAGAATTGTTATCCCATCTGACCTATGAGAAGACTGAGTCTAATAAAATTGTGTGTTTTTTCTGAAACTTACAGCGAATAAGTGTCAGGCTGAGAATCAACCTTAAGTTTTTTGACCCTGAGTCTTGTCCCTTTCCTACAGCTGCCACTTCATATAAGAACTTAAGAATTACCAACCACCTTAGCCCTATGACACAATCAGTCCGGGGGCACTGTGAAATATTTTCTAAAATAATATAGTCATTCTCTAAAATGTTATATAGTATTGAGACACACTATTTTTAATAGTTGATACCTTCAGTCTGCTTCTTATTTTCTCAAACCATAAACTCTTTCTACCAGTTGTAAATTATTTATACATTTCAATATGACAAACGTAGCAAATATTCAATAGAACTTGAGTATAACTAAGGTTTTTATTAAAACCTTTGACAATTAGCTTTTTATTGTGGTAAAATATGCATAACATAAAATATGCCATTTAAACCATTTACAAGTATACAATTCAGTGGCATTAATTACATTCACAATGTTATTCAACTACCACTTCTATTTCCAAAACTTATCATCATCCCAGACAGAAACTCTGTAATTGGTTAAGCAATAGCTCTCTATTCCCCATCCCCTCTAGCCCACAGTAAGCTCTAATCTATTTTCCATCTCTATGAATTTGCCTATTCTAGATAATTCATATAAATGAACTCATACAATATTTTCCTTTTGTGGCTGGCTTATTTCACTTAGCATAATGTTTTCAGGGTTAACCCATGTTATAGTATGTATCAGAACTTCATTCCTTTTTATGACTGAATAATATTCCATGCCACATTTTGTTTACCCATTCATCTGTTGATGGACTTTGGTTATTTCCACTTTTTAGCTATTGTGAATAAATCGGCTATGAACATTGGCACACAAGTATCTGTTGGAGTCCCTGCTTTCACTTCTTCGGGGTATATACCTAGGAGTGGAATTGCTATATCATATGCTAATTCTATGTTTAACTTTTTGAAGAACGAGCAAACTGTTTTCCACAGTGGCTGAACCATTTTACAATCCTGCCAACAGTGTATGCTAGCAATTTTTCCTCATCCTTGACAACACTTGTTTTTGTTTTTTTTTTTGACAACACTTGTTATTACCTGTCTTTTTGATTACTGCCAACACTAGAGTCTAGTGTTATCTCACTAGATTTGGTTTTGATTTGCATTTCCCTAATGACTAATGATGTTGAGCATCTTCTCATGTGCTTATTGACCATTTGTATATAGTCTTTGGAAAAATGTCTATTCGACTCCTTTGCCCACTTTTTTATTTGGGTTGTTTGTCTTTTTGTTATTGAATTGTAGGAGCTCTTTATATAAAACGCTTATCAGATATATGTTTTGTAGGTATTTTCTCTCATTCTTTAGGTTGTCTTTTTACTTTATTGATAATGTCCTTTGGTGCACAAAAGTTTTTAATTTTAATGAAGTTCAATTTCTCTAATTTTTCTTCTGTTGCTCATGCTTTTGGTGTCATATCTAAGAATATGTTGCTAAATCCAAGTTCATAAATATTTACCTCATGTTTTCTTCTAAGAGCTTTATGGTTTTAGCTCTTATATTTAGGTTTTGATCCATTTTTAGTTAATTCTTGTATCTGACAGTTTTTCACAACTATTAAAACAAGTGCATCCCATGTATAAAAAAGAATATTTTAAGGAAATTCATGACAAGTCATACCCTTGGCATTAGAGAAATAATTCTTAGAAACTTACAATGGTTGCTTTTGGTTTACCCTTGGCCATTGTCCTTTCCTTAAACTTTCTTATCTACATAGCTTAGCTATATTCCATGTTTCCTCCTGTGTAAACATGGGGAGTATGTACACATATGGGCATGATAATGGTGATGGTGCAGCAGACCCAGGGCAAAAGAACAAGTGAATGCTTCCTTTGAAAGAATAAGAAGGGGCATGAGTAAAGCACAGACACACACATGAGAGGAGAAGGGCTTTCTGAGGCTAACTATGGAGCAGGATTAAAACACCCTCATGTAGCTCAGAGGGTCTTTTTAATTTTTATTGATAACTAGTAGCTAGATCAGTGGTTCACAGCCCTGATCAAATATTTAGAATCACCAGGTGAGCTTTCTAAAAATATCAAGGTGCAGGTGACATCCCAAAGATTCTGATTTAATTGATCTGCATGGGATCCAGGCATCAGTATTTTTTAAGAGCTCCCTTGGTTATTCTAATGTGCAGCCAATAATTGCCCAGCAATGCAACAGTTACACAACTTAGTCTTCTAATCATTCAGAGGATTTGATTACTAAGGATAGGGTCACAGCAGGCTTCATGAGAGGGTGACCTTTTACAGAGTGAGATTTCAGGGTCCCCAAGTGTGTCTCCCCACCCACAGTGCTCTCCCCTGCATATTAATGGCTAAAATCCCACCACTGGAGTCTCATGCCTTTGCCTTAACACTTTCCATTATGTTTTTTAAGGGAAATATTTCTGAGATGGCCTCATCTGTCACCTACACTTTGGGATAAGTGGGTTTATCAGATCATTAGAAAAGGTGGGAATAGGAGGGTTAATAGTTGAGAGGAGTGGAAAGCCCAGTGGGCATAGTTCTGACTAACAAAAAAAAGCTACAGAAGGAGAACTGGGAGATAGCAACGACAGACATTACTCACTTCAGAATTATGAATAAGCGTCACTGTATTATGTTCCACTAAACTTTGCTTCTTGTTTGTCAGCTTCCTAGGACAAATTTTCATTGGTTATTTCTAAGAAAAAAATCCCACTTGGTTGACTCTTCACCTTTAAGAGTTTCAAAACTGAGATACCAGAAGTTAAGTGTCTTTTATCATTTCTCATAAATTATTTTCCCCATGTTTGATGATGTAAAAGAGGTTTGACCAGGGATTACCCCAGGAAGAGTGAGTCATCTAAGATACTTGTCACAGCAGAGTTGTATGTAAGAGGAAGAAATTCTCTGTGTATATTAGATTAACTCTTGTGCTTCTACTTATACATTTTTATTCAGGGACCTGGATTTAGTGCTGATGGCTGCTTTGCACCATCTAATTTTGGATTAGCCAATATTTGGTTTCATGCACGACACAGTTTTTCCTTAAAAAAAAAACAACTCTCTCCTCTTTTAAATTATTCAAATTCTTAGCACCTTATTCATTCATTGCATTTAAATATGCTGGATATTGGCAACTCAATGGTGAGGAAAACAAATATAATCCCTTCTCTTTGGGAGCTTACAGACTAGAGGGGGAGAAAACATTAGCAAATTATGAAAATAACTCTAATTTACAACTGTGACACAAGCGATGGAGAGTTATACAGTTCCATAAAAGTATATAACAGGAGGACCTGACTGAGGTGGTCAGAAGGACAGGAAACATTAAAAGTAGGGGAAACTACATGTACTAAGGACCTGTGGTGAGAAGGAATGTGACATATTGAAGAAAGTAAAAGAAGCATAGAGAACTAGAATGTAGAAAGTGAGACAAAAGTAGGCAAGGGCGATTATTGTGTTAAGAGTTTCTGGTTTTTATCCTAAGAGCAATAGGAAACCCTGAAGGGTTTTAACTAAAGAGGGATATGATCATCAGGGTTGAGTTTTGAAAAGAAAGAATCATTCAGGCTGCAGTACCAAAGACAGACTGGAGGAAGGTGAGGTTGAGGAAAGTAAGAGCAGTTAGAAAGATATTGCGATAGTCCAAGCAAGAGATAAGTCCTTTGGGCTAAGATGATGGTGGCAGAGACTGTGGGGTGGTGGGAATAGGGAGAGTGGTGAAGGTCTCAGAAATGAGACGTCCAAATGGTAGGACCGAAGGGGTGATGAAGGTGACTGAAGGGTGAGAAGACGCTCAGGTTTCAGATTTAGGTAAATGCATGACTGACTATGCCATTCAATGTCAGTAAGAACACTGAAAAAGGACCAAATTTGGGAGGAAGATCATGAATTCCACTTTCAAGTATTGAACTGGAAATGACTTTGAGACAAAAGAGTTTTATATTCAAAACTCGTTTGGAATACAGTAAGGTATCCTTAATTCACAGTAATATCAGAGATGCATTAAACTTGATCACATTTTGCAAATCAGTAATAAACAATTTAAAATTGAGGGTGTTGTACTCCATCTTGCTACTTTGCTTTAATTATGGACACAATTTCAAAGTGTGTTAGTAAACATGTTATATTTTTAGAAACAATGAAGTTGTGGCAATGGGGGTCTACACTCCCATACTCAAGCTGGTAAATCCTGGCTGAGGCAAACAGGGTGGGGGGTGGGGGCTGGGTGGGAAGCGGGGGTATGTGTGTGTGTTTTCTGGAGAGATTTATTGAGCTAAATGAAACAGTGAGGTTCATTGGTATTTATGAATGGTTCATTAGTGCAACTACCTGAACACAAGGTGAATTCGCATTAAATGATAAGACTTCCTAATAATTAGTATGCGCCACTCTTTGGAATTTGTAATTAGAGGAAAGAGGCAGAATGAAAGGAAATTGATAAAAGGGTAGTTGTTATAAAATTAAAACCCTTTAAAGCCAATTCCATTTCTTTGTGAAGCAAATAAGGTAAAGGGGATCAGAAGAAGAGAAAATGTACTTCCTCTCTTAGTTGGCAACTCAAATTCAGCCTAGATCAGAGTTTCTGGTTTTTATCCTAAGAACAGTGGAAAATCCCTGAAGGGTGACACGTTCGGAATTGGGTTCTGAAAAGAATTACCTGAGCAGTATTGACATTAGGGGCTGGATAATTCCTTGTTGTGAGGGACTGACCGGTGCATTATAGAATGTTTAGCAGCATCCCTGGTCTCAATTCACTAGCTGTCAATAGCAGTCACCACCCCCTCCCCCCTTGAACTGTGACAACCAAAATGTCTCTAGACATTATGAAGATATCACCTGAGGAGCAAAGTGGCCTTGTTTGAGAACCACTGGACTAAATCTAGAATCCTGAGAATGTCATTTGACAATCATTTCAGGGTCTATTGGCTTTTACTTTGTTGCATAAATATTTACTGAGGACCTTGTTTGTTTTGCTGTTCAAAGAGGAGCAACACTTAGTCCCTCTGCTTTGTAAGGAGTCTATGACAGTAGGGAAGGGATGGGGGACTGATAAACTTAGAAATTAAAGAAGGATGCAGAAGGATGCGCTCTCACGTGGCATGGAGGTTGCCACATTAGCCTAGAATAATCTTGTAGCTGGGATTTTCTCAGTGGCAGACCTCAAGATCACACCTATCAATGACCAGGGTTGGCTATGTTCATTAATGAGAGAATAATCCACATGGAATATTTTTGGCATAAAGTCTCTCCTGACTTTTCTGGAACTTTGCCTGATCTGTTACAGCCTTTCTCTTCTATCTTTCCCTCTCCCCTGACTCCATATAGCCCAACTAACATGATTAAATTTCACTGAGCTTGGTGAGGGGGTGATTTTCTTCAACTTGCCTGATCTGCCTAGCAGTTACCATTCCATATTTCTCATCCCATAATAAGTAACCCCTGCCACGCCACAGACATGATTCTCTCTCGAGTGAAAATCAACTCTCACTGCCAAACCCCACAGCCTTCTTTCTGAGTTCCTTTTGACCTTGTTGGCACCCCTCCCCTTTGTTTCTCCTTCCTAGGTTTCCTTGGTCCTCCCTTGCTTTTCTTCCCATTGGGCTCATTTTTTTCTTTTCTGGTTCTTCCTCATTGACTTTTGGATCACACGGCTGACTCCAAGTATTTAGTGAATTTAAATACCTGATGTGGTTTGATTCCTCAATATTCCTCTCTCACTTAAAGTGAGGAAGCGTATTTGTAAATAAAATGGAACAAATCTATTAACTGCCACCGAAAGAAATATTTTCAAGATTAAACCCTCCACTGTAAACTCTGCAGTCAGGCTGGCTCCTTTTTAGAAGGAATGCTATTTTTCCTTGAGCTGAAGACATCGTTCTGACATCCTGCATCCTCTGTTCCCGCCTGATGCAAATGTACAAAAGGCACTGACTCACCCTGAAAGCTGGTCCTCTTTGTTTTTCTTTCACACCTCTGGAGCAGCTGGGGGGAGGAAAAAAAAAAGAGTCATTTCTGTGCAAGAAAATTATAAAAAATTTTCAAAGCTGGTCCTCAGTATCTTTAGGAAACTTTTAATTCATTTAGGAAAATATGGAAATGAATGCTTTTTTGGACATTTTTATAGTGCCTTTTGATGAAAATCCCCAAGGACCCAAGCGATTGGAAGAACTGGACATCTGCTCAAGATTTTTGTGTTGAAGAAGGGGGGACACTTGTCGCCATTGAAAATGAGGTGGAACAAGGTAGAGTACTCAATATTCAATCAGGCAAAAATCACCATTTTTATTCAAGCGTCTGTTAAAATATTCCTCCAAAATACTAACATTTCCAAATCAACATTTTAAGTATTATATTGCTGGTGACACGTACGTTTTCAGTTTGACCTATAAGGTTTATATCATGACATCTGTAAAAGTTAGTACACTCCATTGTTTACAAACTGCTGATTTTTGGGAGTCTTTTGTCTCACCAGGCGTAGTGGAAAGAATAAGGATATATTTATGAGCGGCATTTCAAAATGGCTAAAATAATCTGAGGTATAATCTATTATAATTGCATGGTATAATTTTTTAGATCCCTTTAGAGTTACCTACACACTTTCATTTGCTATTTAGGCAATAATCGTATACTTTAGTTAAGTATAATGGATAAACCCTCTTTTGTTTAGAAAGGCATTGAATGAACACTGGAAATTGTTTTACTAATGATATGATGAAATCCCAGGCTTAGCCAGCTAATTGCTGTCAATTTAAACTGAACAAAAGTGACAGAGACGGCATCATCTTAATAAGGACAAAGTAACAAATTCCTACCGTTGATTCGTAATTAAGTTTTGCTATCATTTAAATAAAATCATAGCTATAAACAGAATTTGATGATTACCCAAATGGTTTATATGGTATTAAATTTGATAATGTATTCTTATTTTTCAGCTTTCATTACTATGAATCTTTTTGGCCATACCACTAATGTGTGGATAGGGTTACAAAATGATGATTATGAAAAATGGCTAAATGGAAGGCCCATGTCATATTCTAATTGGTCCCCATTTGATATAGTAAATGTAAGTTTTAAGATTTATTTTTTAGAAATCATTTTAGCAAGAGATCCTATTTGAGACTTGTTTACTGAAGTTTTTCTTTTTTTTACTTCCTATATTTTGTAGGCATAAATTTTTATTAGTTGGTTAATATATTAATTTTTAATAATGTAATTTCATATAATTGTCATGTGTTCCATGAATATAATTTCTTTACTCATCACAATAATTATTTATTTTGTGGGTTATGAACTGATTTGTGAACAGGTTTATTAAATGCAAATAAAGGAATAATAGTGTTTGAATTTTTAAAATTATGTCCTTAATAAAAATATCAATGTTATAATAACGTTATATGTTACCATTTTTAAAAAAACATGTATTCTTTTGAAGATTCCAAGTCATAACACCACCGAAGTTCAAAAACGCATTCCTCTCTGTGCCTTGCTGTCAAATAATCCTAATTTTCATTTCACTGGAAAATGGTATTTTGAAGACTGTAGAGAAGAAGGCTATGGGTTTGTTTGTGAAAAAATGCAGGGTAAGAAATATTTGTTTTTTTATTCCTTTCATTTCCATGGCCCACTCTTCTCTTCCACATTTGTTTTACACACTGTATAGATGATAGTTTCATAGCTAAGTGCCAGCACTTATTTTTTAAGTCACTTAATCTCCACTACCTCAGGGTTGTGCCCCCTAGTGGGGTTCTAAGGACTCCAGAGACCACTTGAGTGATGACCAAGTTTATGCATCCATCTTGGTCATATTAAAAGGCTTTACTGCCTGTTCTAGGATTATGTGTCTGTTCAGATATTTTTAAAAAGACACTGAAAATATGTTGGAAGAGAGTCAAGGAAATAAACCAACTCAATACTTACTCCTTTCTTGGAACCCTAAAATGGTCTCTGTGGCTAAATATGGCAAACAGCACGTTTCTAGATATCAGAACCCCCAATGACTTCTGGTATGAAATACCAAAGCTATAGTATTACAGGTAGCCAGTGGGGGATGAACAATGTGAATGCACTGTAAGTGACCTTGAGTAACAAAAATAAAAAGAATAACAACAATAGCTCACATCTCATGCTTTTACTGAGTCCCAGGCTTCCCTAGAAGGCCATAATTTGTGTCTGGAGCTGTGTGGAATTCTAGGCAGCCTAGGATACATATGCTTACTTGGAATATGAATTATACCTCTCAGTGTTGCATACATCTGAACTCTTTGATGATACTAAGTATCAACACATCCTCAGAAAAGCAGTTCCAGAGAAATCCTCTTTCCTAGTTCACAGTTATCACTTTAGCATGGTAGTGGTCAGGAAATGAAAGATACCAGATCAGCTATAGCAAGAGTATTATGAGAAGAGCAGAGTCTCGTCAGAAAAGAAAGAATATCAATACGTCATTACTTGTACACTTATGATACGCCTGGCACTGTGCCTTGCTTTTTATAAGTATTGTGCCATAAAGTCCTCCCGACACTTCTATGAAGTAAGTAAAAGTCTCCACATTTTACAGATGAGGAAATTGAGGCTTAGGAAAAATAAGTAACATACTCAAGTTCTCTCAAATACAATGATTCTATTCCCGGACCTTGATGTCGCTCTCTTCTTGAAATGTACTCTCTGACCACTTTCTCTCTTTGATATTTTTGGGACTAATAATGTTTATGTTCTTTTGGAGACAGTATAGAGCAGTGGTGGTGGAGTTCAAATCCCACCTGGGTTCCTATTCCACCTCTATAAATAAACTGTTAGTCAAGTTTATTATCTTCTCTGAACCTTGATTTCTGCATCTGTAAAATGGAATAATAACTATCTCACAGACTCTACATATATACAATGCTTAGCAAGTTCCTAGCACGTGTTTAACAAACAATTGTTGCTTTTGTTATTATTGTTTCTATTATATTATTATTCAACTACACAAGTTCTTGTAGTCTACAGTGAATATCCAAATTCTGACTCCTCTTCTTTGTGTGCCATGTGAGTATGTGTTTACATTGGGTTTCGAACCTAAAGTCTTTGATCTGCCTGAAAGAATAAAGATATCTGAATAAAAAGAGAGATAAGGGCAAAGTCAAGACCCCCAATTTTGAACTTGGTTTCAGGTGGATCTTTCTCAGGGCAGCAGATGGCAAAATCATAGTGCTCAAAATCACTTATGTTTTGAAACTTGATGAAACCAATAACATAGGGAGAAACTCATATATGTGAAAATACAGGGGCATGACCTAGTGGGGAAAACCAGTTAAATTGGTATTTGGGTCACACATACAAAGAATTTCAGTTACTTTAATTTTAAAAATTGTTATCATTTTTAAATGGCTACTTTGGTATTATGTTGCTTTGTATAAATAACATTGGTACATCAGATGGCAAATAGACTTCTACAAAGAAAAAGAGATGATGAAAGTGTGGTCCATCAAAATTTAATTGGTGAATAGATTAATTTTACTTTGGTTTTACAATATGTACTACTGCTATACTGAGGTAACAGTTTCAGGAAAAGTCAAAGCCTCACCCTGCCATTTTTGTTTGGGAGAGTGTGACAAGAAGAGGAGAGGAGAGCAAGAAGCAGCATTTATTGAGTGCCTGCTGTGTTCCACGTCCTATAGTAGGTGCTCTTTGTGCATATCTCCTTGAATTTTACCCACACGCCTCTAACGAAGGCCTTAGTAATCTCTTACAGACCAGAAATTTAAAGTTTAGAGAGATTAACTAATTTGGCCATTTAGGGTCAGGACTGCGATTGAGTCCCAGGTCTTCGGACCTACCCACCATGCTCCTTTTCAACCCCAAACGTGGATAAAAACCAGTATACAGAGAGAAATCCCAGCCACCTTGGATCAGACAGTTGAGAAAGGCTTACCTTTTTTGTGTGTTTTAGGATGCCTAAACTCGGCCTAAAGATAGTACAGAACAAAAAGGCAAATGCACATAGTAAAGAGGAAACATCTATATGTAACACATGAGCTTGGTTCTCACTTGATCACAGCCACTCATTTATACAAAGCACCAATGATCATGTGTGGGAAAACCTTGTCTTTTAATTTATAAATCTTGACTCTGATAGGTGACATATTAATAGTAATGGTTTCTAAGAACTGTGTGTATTTCTAAGCATTAACTTATTTTTTAACTTCTCTTTAGACATTATACATGTTAGCATTAAACATGATAGCAACTATCATACAGTCCCAAAAGTTTAATAAAGTATTATATTTGAGAATATGCACTTGTAAATTGTGTTTGCAAAGCAGTGTTTGACTACGTTATATATGTTAATACTCTCTCAGTAAGTATTAAGTTCTGCCAGCAGCATGTGTTAGGCTGCGTGTACCTAGTAGAAGTAAGCTTGCCTAAGGAGACCCTATCAGTTCCACCAAAAAGTGGTCAGTTTGACAAGGGATTGTCAAAACTGGGAAATCTAGAAATGATTCAATATATGTTTATATATATATTTAAAACTCATTCATTAAATTTCCTAAGTGTTTTCATTCTTTAGTATCCCCTATGCTTACAGGTATTGTCTTCATTTTGAAATAGTCAATTCTGGGAAGAAAAACTCTGATGTTAACGACAGCACGGATCATTGTATAGGGATCCATGCTAAGCTTTGCCTCCCCCTTCCCATCCAGGTTCTACAAATAATTTTTGTTGTTCTTTTTCTAGATACTTCTGGACACAGTATAAATACATCTGATATGTACCCAATCCCCAATACCTTAGAATATGGAAACAGAACTTACAAAATAATTAATGAAAATATGACTTGGTATACAGCACTAAAAACCTGCCTGATGCACGGAGCAGAACTGGTCAGCATTACAGACCAGTACCACCAGTCTTTCCTCACTGTTATCCTCAACCGGCTAGGACATGCCCACTGGATTGGACTGTTCACTGAAGATGTAGGTGTCCTAAAATCCCTTGGACAATCCTTGCATAATTAAGTTTCATATCTACCTCCTTAGTGATATAGCCACTGAAATTAGCACAGAAAAAAAAAAGCTATGAAATAACAGTAAATGTAACATTTAGGTAATTGGATTATACAATAACTACTGACCAACCTCATGAGCAGCATATAACTACAAAAGGTGTCCCTTTTTAGGGTAAACATCTACTTGCCTAATTTCTGGAAATTCATGCCCTTCAAAGTTTCTCTGAAGATGTCTGAAAAATTTCAGGATACTGACTTATATGTGCACTGGAATACATACTGAACTCAAGCACCTGCGTTTGGGTAATATGTTGCCTTTAAAGAATCCCCAAGAAAAATGAATCATGCTTCCTGCACAGAAATTCGGTTATTAATTAATTCAGTACCCCTTGGAATTTAACATGTGCGTTATTTTCCTCCTCTAGGGAAATGGTTTGGAAAGTAATATTTTTAAATTTTTTTAAATACAAGTATTACACACTCAAATAGCAAAAAGTAAATCTATTCTATCCTGACCTCTAGTTCTACTCCTCAAAGTTAATCACTGTTAACAGTTTCTTGTGTGTCATTTAGAAAGTTTCTGTGTATGCATATATATACACATGTAATGGATTAGTATGTATATTTTTTTAAATATAAATGAGCTCATACTATATATACTGTCCTTAAGCTTGCTTTTAATTTAATATACGTTGTTCAGCTTTCTATGTCAGCTCATAAAAATCTAATACATTCTTTGAGACAGCAGCATATATGGATATACCACAATTTATTAAATCATTCTCATGTGAATGGACATTTGGGTTCTTCCCAGTTTTCACAATTCCAAACAATGCACAACAAATATCCTTGTACAAGTAGGATAAATCCCCAGGAATGAAGTTGCTAAATACCCTTTATAAATTTTAACAAGGGATGGTGCCATATTGCCCTCTAAAATTTTGTGCCAATTTACATGCTAACAACAGTGTATGATAGCACCTAGTTTTTTCACATCCTTGCCAACACTGGGTACGTCAAAATTTTAATCCTTGCCAGTAGGATAGGTGAAAGGATGGCATTTCATGGTTGTTTATTGTATTTTTGTATTACAGAATTTTTAACTTTATGTAGTCAATTTTGCTTTATGGCCTCTGGATTTTTTTATCAGACTCGGAAAGATTTTTCCCATGTCAAGAGTATAAAATATTTAGCCAAGTTTTCTTTAGCACTTTTATGTTTTCAATTATATGTATGAATCTTTGATCAATCTTAAATTTATTTTGGTGTAAAGAACAAGATATTGATTCAACTTCACTCTGATTGCTTACCAGGAAATTATGGTGAGGGAACCAAGGATTCCCAAAAACTAAAGAAGATGTTGCTTATGGCAGATAGTCCTTTTTGTCAGGCCATTTCCACAAGCTGTCCTAGACTTCCTGAAATATAAGTCTAGATGTGGAAATATAAATCCATGCATGAAGTGAGAGCTGCTCAGACAGCATTGGGTGATGTTGCCAGCATTCATGGCAAGGAAATGATGGCTCAGTTTCCCTCCACAGAATGGTCTTAATTTTGACTGGTCAGATGGCACCAAGTCCTCCTTCACTTTTTGGAAAGATGATGAGTCATCCTTCCTGGGTGACTGTGTTTTCGCTGACACCAGTGGACACTGGAGTAGCACAGCCTGTGAGTCATATCTGCAAGGAGCCATTTGTCATGTGCCCACAGGTAGGTTCAATTCTATTAAACTCAAGAAATACATACTGTGAACCTACTGTATGCAAGGCACTGTGCTAAGCAAGAGCTGTGAGGGAAAGTAGTACGAAGTATCTGCCCTCGAGAAGCATTCGGTCTGGTAGGTGATGTACAAATAAGTGTTACATGAGGCAGGGCTACCAAATGATATAAGAGCCATAGCAAGTGCTGTGGGGGGTTAGCAAGAAAATGGACACATAAGATCCACTCGGGGAAAAGCAAAACGCCTTCTTGAAGGACAGGACTGTGGAGATTGGTCTTGAAGAATGGGTGTGATCAGGAAATGGGACATGGAGAGGCATTCTGAGCAGAAAAGCTTGGGCAGACATGGGAGGAAGAAAGGACTGGGCATGTAGCTGAGCAAAGCTGGTGTTGAGATTTTCCTGCATGGCAGGATTTTGGTAAGACAGAGGTAGGAAATCAGGTTAGAAACATAGGTTAGGAGCATGTGTGGAGGACCTTGAATACCACTGAAGATTTATGTTTAAGTCAAAGATTAATAGGATTCTAGAGCATCATCATCACCATTATGGTAATAATATTTGTATTTATATTATATATGTATATATAAAACATGACAGTAATGATAATAGTATCTCATTACACTGAATGTTCACCTCGCCCAACCAGATGAACATTAAAGATGAAACTTAAACTCAGAACATTAAATAGCTTCCTGACGATCTCACAGATGTCTGTCAACAGCACCAGGAGCAGAAGCCAAGTTTCCTTGATCTCTGATATCATGTTTATCCCATTAAATCAGGTCCCCTTTCCTTTGATTGCTATGGTGTACAAAAAGAAATTTCCTTAACACTAACTGGTTTCTTTTTAAATCTCTCATTTAGTAAGTGTGCACGTATTTACTTACTCTCTGGATACTATAAGTCAAATAGCACACATATTATGTAAGTTCAGCTCAAAACAATTCAGGACAAAAATATAAATGATAGCCATATGTATTGGGAAAGCTAATTCTCCTTCTAAAACACCATGAAGTTATCCTTCTTTTTTTAATAACGCTACATTTATTGAGTGCTTAAGTGACAGGCACTAGCTCACCTAACTTCTTAAGTTGTAAGAAAGATGTTATTGTTAGCTCTCTTTTACGTGTGTGGGAGTGTGCGGAAGATAGGTAACATACCCACAGCCATGCACCTAGGATCTCAGTGTGGGTGTGTCTGACTCTCATGCTTGCCCTCTGAAACAAAGACTTCCCCCAATTCCCCTTAGTTATGTGTTGTGTTATGTTATGTCATGATATATTATGATATGTTGTTATGATATGATTTGTTATGTTATGCTATGTTGTGTTATGTCATGTCATGATATATGTTATGTTATGATATGTTATACTATGTTATGATATATTATGTTATACTAATGTTATGTTATGTTATGATATGTTACTTTATTGAATGCTTTATTTTCTCTAAGTTGACTAGCAGGTAAGGATTTACTAAATCTTCAGCACTGAATGGAACACATTCTGTACATTTGGAAGTGTCTTTTACCAACTTCATTCAGCTGCCAGTATTTCTCTGAATCACATGCCCCAGTTTTTCCAACCTTTAGGACACTAACTGTAAATATTAAAGATAACACCCAAACTAAGCCTATGAAGCTATGCATTAATATGCCCTGTTATGTGTAGGAAAAGATTACTTCTGCCAGACATGCTATAAGCCATTCCAGTTTTGTAATCATTTACATTAAACCCACTCTTTCAGAGTATTATCATGAAAATCTCATTACATATATTTATCTTGGTCTTTCATAGAATGTAATGCAATGTTTATCTCAATAAGTGAACCCAGTCACCACCCTGAAATCATAACTCATTTTGTTCATAGAAACAAGACCATTTGGATACCCAGAGTTGTGCTCAGAAACATCTATTCCCTGGATAAAATTCAAAAGTAATTGCTACAGTTTTTCTACCGTCTTAGACAGTACGAGTTTTGAGGCTGCTCATGAATTTTGTAAAAAGGAAGGTAATTCTTTTGTTGTGGTAAAATGCTTTCAATGTGTTCCTTCTTGACATTTCAGTAAACAATGTAGTTTTCTTCATTTGTCTGATTATTTAGTGATTTTAGAGGCAACAAAAACAATTGAAAAAGTAAATATTATTGAATTTGCTTGTTTGGGGGATGGCTAAAATGTTCAATGTCCAGTATACAATTAAAAACCCAAGACAATATCTCAGGATACTGCACTTTCCCAAAAAAGTGTTCCCTTTGAATGAATTTGAATTATGAATCTTTAATGTTCCTGAAAATTAATATTCTATTCTTTAAGTACAAGCTTGTATCTTTCAATAAATGTCATACTACTTTTAAAATTCTAATCAAAAATTACTTATTAACAATGGAAACTTTCACTTTTCAAAGCCTGAGCTTTTTAATTTTTTTATTGAAGTATAGTTGATTTACAATGTGTTAGTTTCTGGTGTACAGCAAAGTGATTCAGATATGGATAGATAGATAGTTAGATATATATTCTTTTTTAGATTCTTTTCCATTATAGGATATTATAAGATATTGAATATAGTTCCCTGTGCAACACAGAAGGACCTTGCTGTTTATCTATTTTATACATAGTAGTATATATCTGTTAATCCCAAGCTCCTATCTTATGCCTCCCCCAACTTTCCCCTTTGGTAACCATAAGTTTGTTTTCTATGTCTGTGAATCTGTTTCTGTTTTGTAAATAAGTTCATTTGTTTCATTTTTTTAGATTCCACATATAAGTGATATCATATGATATTTGTCTTTCTCTGTCTGCCTTACTTCACTCAGTATGATAATCTCTAGGTCCATCCATGTTGCTGCAAATGGCATTATTTCATTCTTCTTTATGGCCAATATTCTATTGTGTATATATACCATATCTTCTTTATCCATTCATCTGTCGATGGACACTTTAGGTTGCTTCCATGTCTTCGCTATTGTAAATAGTGCTGCTATGAACGTTGGGGTGCCTGTATCTTTTCAAATTAAGAGTTTTCACCTTTTCTGGATATATGTCCAGGAATGGAATTGCAGGATCATATGGTAACTCTAGTTTTCATTTTTTAAGGAACCTCCATACTGTTCTCCATAGTGGCTGCACAAATTCACATTCCCACCAACAGTGTAGGAGGGTTCCCTTTTTTCCACACCCTCTCCAGCATTTACTATTTGTAGACTTTTTGATGATGGCAATTCTGACTGGATAGCACCTCGATATTATTGAGATGATATCTCAGTATAATTTTGATTTGCATTTCTCTAATAATTAGCAATGTTGAGCATCTTTTCATGTGCCTGTTGGTCAGCTGTATGTCTTCTTCGGAGAAATGTCTAATTAGGTCTCCCGTCTATTTTTTGACTGGGTTGTGTTTTTTTTGATATTGAGCTATATGAGCTGTTTGTATATTTTGGAAACCAAGCCCTTGCTGGTCACACTGTTTCCAAATATTTTCTCCCATTCCATAGGTTGTCTTTTCGTTTTGTTTATGCAAAATTTATAAGTTTAATTAGGTCTCATTTGTTTACTTTTGCTTTTATCTCTTTTGCTTTGGGAGACTGACCTAAGAAGACATTGCTATGATTTATGTCAGAGAATATTTTGCCTACATTCTCTTCTAGGAGTTTTATGGTGTCATGTCTTATATTAAATCTTTAAACCATTTTGAGTTTATTTTTGTGTATGGTGTGTGAAGGAGTGTTCTAACTTCATTGATTTACAGGCATCAAAGCCTGAGCTTTATGAATTATGGTATAGAAGACATTATTTTAATTGTATTTACATGTAAACACAAATAGTTATTCATTTGCTGTTTGTCTCCTTTATAGGATCTAATCTTTTAACAATCAAAGATGAAGCTGAAAATTCATTTCTCCTAGACCAGCTTTTAGCTTTCAGTTCTTCTGTCAAGATGGTTTGGCTGAATGCTCAGTTTGATGGTGACAGTAAGTGACTGGGTAGAGAAGAGGAGAGGGCATAAATAAATACACAATGGTCAAGGTTGATGGAAATGGCATCTGCAAACCAGAAAACTTTCCTTGGATACATTGCTGTTTAAAAAAATATCATAAATCCTAAAGCCATTTCTTCCAAAGACATCATTGCTAACCTCTTTTTATACCTTCTTGCCCTTTGAAATAATCCCAGAAGACCAAAAATGAAAACAAACAAGTTTATCTTATACTTAATCTTGCATTATGAAGATGCTTGGCTGGAACTTTGTGTTCACGGACTTAGTCATAGACACCAAACCATATTTACTTGAAAATACCCCAGGTTTCTAAATGTTATAAGAGCACAACAGAGTTATGGAAATATTTCAGTGATAAATAGTGCTAGTAGAACTGTTATTTGCTACTCATAAAAACCAGAGTTTGTAATCAGATGAGAGCATGCTATTCTTTTCTTTATGTAACTGACGGTTGTTGAAAGTACTTGTAAAGAAAATTACTTTAAATGGTATAGAGAACTTGTTACAGTGGTGTACCAAGGTAGAGGATGGGTCCATGCTGGCAAGGAAGAGTATTTCAATCACCGACATTGCTTAAAACTTCTAGCACAGGGTGATAATAAAAAGCTGACTGACTTATGCTTAGTTTTATTGTTTGTTTTAAATACTTATCACCTACACATGGATGGATTCTACCACTGCCCCCACCCCTTGGTATACCACTGGCTTGCTTTTTAAAGAAGCTCATTGTACTCTGTGCTCATAAAGGACTGTTTGCAACTACTTGATTTCTAAGATATTCAATATACTGAAGTAATGAAGTTTTTTCTTTAAGCTTTTAAGTTCAAACTACAAATTTTATTATTCTATCTATAAATCTAATAAATTTTAAGGGGCACTTTACAACAAAAAAGAAGCTCACTGTAAAATTCTTTTAGAAAGTGATCTACTTTGTAATGATATAGCTGTTAGGACTTTAAATGATTTCTTTAAATTGTTTGTAATGATAGGGAATATTTCAAATTCAAACTGTTACATTAAGAAACATCATATCTTGAATGAACTAAATTAGAACAATATATCTAAAATAAAGAGAGTTGTTCACAAGGCAATTTCACTTATACCTACCTTTTAATGTTGAGTTCATGATTGTTGAATGCATCAGATAAGAAGAGAGTCTCATTAAATTTAGGGGCTGCTTTTTAAGGCTCATTCCAGACTTAGTATGTTTGATAACCATGCCCATAATTCATGTTAGCATTTTTTCCACAGATGAAACCATAAAGTGGTTTGATGGAACTCTCGCAGACCAGTCAAACTGGGGTATTAGGAAGCCAGAGATGGACCACGTCAAACCCCATCTGTGTGTTGCCCTGAGGATTCCCGAAGGAGTGTGGCAGTTATCCTCATGTCAAGACAAAAAAGGATTTATATGTAAAATGGAAGCAGGTGGGTAAAGTTAGAAAGTAAATCTTCATTTTGCTTCTACCTTGACTAAAGTTGACCCACCTCCTTAGCACTTAAAGCTTTTAAAATCTAAGTATTCAGTGAGTATTCAGATAGATTCTAACATTATCGTCTTGTTTTACATCAAACAAGTCGGAGAACATTTCAGCTCCTTCCTCTGATATGAAGAAAAAAAATCATTATAAATCAAATCAAAGACTATGACTTTCTTGTGTCACCCTAGCTGTTAACTTAATGGGCAAAAAAAGAAGTTCACCTCAAGCAAATAGAGCTGGGAATGTAAACCAGCAACCCTCATTCTGGCAGCTGCTACTCAGAATTTTAAGCTCCATCTTTGGTCCCAGGAAATATAATTCAGGTCTAGGTATCCTTGTTGTGGATAAGTAGATGCGATTCTCTACTGCAGGCCACAATATATTATAAAAGTCATATAACTTGATCTTGAGCTACATACTTAGGTTGTGGTGATTATAAATAATTTTAGAAATGTAAGCCAGAAAATTCTAGTCCATTGCAAATAATAGAGCTTTCTAAGAGAAGACATTAACAAGGATCATTAACAGTGGGAAGGTGTTTATAGTAATCACAACAGTTTCTAGATGCAGGTATTAACAAAGAAGGAGGGATTGATATGGCCTGGGCTCCTGAAAACTACTCCATAGAGGGGATGAGTCTTTGGAATCACAAAAGATAATGAGAATAGAGGAGGGAAGGAATATTGGATAAAAGGTCCAGAATGACTAAAGGCAGAAATTGAGAATGAGCTTAGACTGGACCACGTTAGGTGGTGTTGGGAATAAAACCGTATTACTGTAGGATCCATCCACAGAAAGTGCTGGGATAAAGAGCTGAACTCCATGGTGAAGGACGCAGGGGACACCTACATGCTCTAGAGACACCAACAGTGGAGTCACACCCATCTGATGTAAAGGGAGACGGTTGTAGTTTGAGTGATAGAACTGGGAACAAAAAAGGGAAGGTGGAAATGGGAAAAGAGAATCATCAGGCTTTGGTGACTGATTAGATATTGGGAATTAAAGAGCAAAAACTGGTAGGTGTGGGAACCAAACTTTGAAGCTCTGCAAGTGTGGATATCAACTCTGTGTGGAAACCATGACTAACCTATTAGTGTGCCCAAGCAACCGCTAGCATTCGACTATCAAGAACAAATCAGAAACATCTCATGTCTGTTCAGGACTTTAAAGCTTCCTGTACTACATAAGACACCTCTTTTATCCTACACAGCAACTTTCCAAGGCAGTGAAGCAGATACAGTATTCCCATGTTACAGATGAGAAAAGTACTCGTCCAAACTGAGGCTACATGGAGAACTACACTCCACATTTTCTGATTCCATATGCCCCTTCTGTACCTGCCCGCTGCCTCCATCCTGAGAATGAATACTCATTCAACAGTCTTTCTTTAAAAAGTATCTTTACACATACACAATACTACATGTTTTCAATAATATTATGCAAAATTATACAATATTATTTTAAAATTGCAAAATCGAGGTTTTTTTTTTTTTTAAGTGTATTTTTGCTATTGGTAATGTTGACATTTCTTTTAAGAGTGAATGAGCATATGTAGTGCACTAAGGCACTTCCTCCACTCACAAATCCTTTACTGCTCTGCCTCTGGGTCATTCCCTACATATTTCTCTGGATCTTTGCTTAGAGCAAAAATAGCAGAGTTCAAACTTTGATATAGAGTCTACTTGGAAAAGATACATTCTTACAGTAGAAAATCCTCAAACAGGAACCCTCTAACTTTTTGAATGGAGGAGCTATTATTCATTTCCCAAGATTCTTGAGATCTAAAAGGTGAGAAGGTCCTAATTTTTTTAATCTTTGCCAAAAGCCAGGGAGGTTACCGTTGCTGGACCAACTCCACATCAGATCCCAACAAAACTGAGTTCCTTGCAGGCAGGGACTATATTTTACTCATATTTTTAATGCACCACAGTGCTGAAACTGGATGGGGATTCTTCAGCTTAAAAAAAAAAAGCAGTATATGTGTTTGTGAGCACTAATAATGATTATTATAAATCAGGGGTCAGCAAACTTTTCTTTAAAGGACCAAATAGTAAATATTTCAGGCTGTAGGAGCCATATGGTTTCTGTCACACTGCCTTTGTAGCACAAAAGCAGCCATAGACAATAGAAACATTATTAGTGTGGCTGAGTTCTAATAAAACGTCACTTGTAAAAACAGGTGCCCAGATTTGATCCATGGACCATTATTTGCTGAGCCCTGCTATAAGCAATGACATAACTTTGCTGATTAAAAGGAAATTTTCATCTCAGTATTTTTTGTATTTGGTTTTAGATATTCACACAGTAAAGGAGGATCCAGGAAAATGTAGGTTTAGAACAGTAGAGAAAGTTTTGATTTTTCATAGAAACAATAAAATAGGAAGTAACGGGCTTCCCTGGTGGCGCAGTGGTTGAGAGTCCGCCTGCTGACGCAGGGGACACGGGTTTGTGTCCCGGTCCGGGAGGATACCACATGCCGCGGAGCGGCTGGGCCCGCGAGCCATGGCCGCTGAGCCTGCGCGTCCGGAGCCTGTGCTCCACAACGGGAGAGGCCACAACGGTGAGAGACCCGCATATCGCAAAAAAGTAACTATGTGACAGTATCTATCTTACTACTTGTCATTGAAGTTTTCTTTTTTTCATCTTCTTTCAGGACCAAGTCACAGCATTATACCCCTTGCAGTAGCAGTGACACTGATAATAATTCTGGCCATTTCCACACTTTCCTTCTGCATATACAAGCACAATAGTGGTATCTTCAGGAGACTTGCACAGTTTGGAAATCCTTACTATCCTGCAACCAACTTTAGTACAGTACATTTAGAAGAAAATATTCTCATTTCTGATCTTGAGAAGAATGACCAATAATAATGAAGTGAGAGGATGCCACGGCCATGAGAATGAGTAAAGAAGAGTACTTTCCTTTACAGACCAGATGCCGCTCTAATGTGAATCGTGTCACCATTTTAATTATTCTTAAAATGATTACTGGTTTTGAATTGTAACCAAATCAGATAGGTGTTCATTTCCTCGAACTGTGATCTATTCTTTAAAAGGGGAGATTTTACAATGGCTATTCTTCAGAAAACAAAAACTATTAAAAGAAACTCCCAAATGAAAACTCTCAAACCAATGTGAATAATAGTTTTTGCATTAATATGCTTCTACCAAAAATTTTTGGGAATTTTAAAACTAACCTGATATCTATTCAGACATTTGCCAATACTCATTCCATTAAAAGAGAGAGGCAGAGAAGAGCAAAACAAATTTTAAAATCCTACACTTGTATAAGAGAGGAAAAAAGAAAAGGCTTTTGAGAGGTTTCTTGTTTGTTTTTTAATTTGATCAGTTTAACAGCAGGGTTTGGAAAACACTAATTTCTAAGCTTAAAACTCACAGGTTCCGGGCTCTATACTAGTATTTAGGGTGACATTCATTTTTATTAGTTCTGACTTCTCAAACTAAAGGAGAAGAAAAATAACCTTTCTTTAAATAGTAAAAATCTTGGTTAGTAGCACAATTTCATAAGCAACCATGCAATGTGGCCTAAAATCATCAATTACTAAATGATGACAAAGTTGGATAGTTAAAAAATCTTATAGATAAGCTCAGAGGGACTTATTGTTATCCTAATACTGTTAAAATTCACAAGATTTATCAAAGACTAAAGGTATAAAATGTATATATACCACTCCTAACAACCAAAAGATATAAAATGTAACTTGAATTTAAAGGGGAAAAATGAAAGATGTGAATTACAGTTTCATTAGAACAAGACAAGTACTAAATAAATTACTCTTCAGCAGTAATCTAGATACCTTTGCTATATAAAGGAGTTTATTTGGGGAGTTCTACTGAGTAAACTAGGGTTTGGGGGAACCAACTCCATTTGCATTGGGCTAGTTCATGCAGTCAGTAAAAAATGATTAAAAGTATGATACTATCCATAAATTAAAACTCACAGATTTGATCTTCCTTCATTAATTTCTTATGAAGTAAAAGGACTTCATAATCAATGTTCAAAAGTTTACTCATTGCGTAAATGTTTACTGAGTTCCTGTTAAGAACCAAGAGCCATTCTAGAAATTGGAGGTATTGGGGCGAGCACTTATTTTTGAATGAAGGAAAACCTACAGTAAACCAGTAAAGAAATGCATAAGAAGAAAATATCAGGTGGTCATGAAAATTAAGGTTCTGTGATAGAGAGAAACTGGGGGAGTCTCCCTAGAGTGTGCATTTTAGTTATTACAGCTAGCTGCCTCAAAACTGGTGACAAGCAGTCACAAGATGGAGCTTGGGAGAAAGTATGAATAAGTTTCTAAGTGGAAAACTATCATCATTAGAAATACAATTTGAAGAACGTGTCCTAAGAATGAAGTCCTTGCAGGCTGAAACAGTTAACACAGCTTCCAAAAGCAGCTCTTTGCTACTGCTGTGCAGTTTACACACTGAGACAATCTACTTCCATAATTTTGTTTGTTTGGGGACTTTTTTTTTTTTAAGATACTACATTATGTGACAGTTGTATATTTATGACTCAAAGGAAAAATTGGCTTGGATTAACCAGATGTTATAAAAGCTCAATTTAATAATCTGTCAAGTGAAATTAAAGTTCTGTTCTTTTTAGTAGACTTGGTAAAAACTGCTAATCAATTATCCTTCCAGTCAAGGTATATTGAAGTTGAGTAGTCAGTCACACATAAAAATTTGACAAAGTATGTCATTAGTAAAGTGGTTCTGCAGGAAAAAAAAAAACTGTATTGCTTGTCAGTGCTCTGTACTTTGATATTTAGTACTGAACCACATCCTAATGGACAGATCATGCGCTGCTTCCCATTACTGAAATTTCAGAAATAGGAATTACTGAAATACTGTTTTATTCACATACGTGCACTTTTAAAAACTTTCTTCCACAACTATTTTTAATCTGAGCTAGATTTCATGCTATACATGAAAAGAAAAAAGTAGCAGGGTCACAAACTCATTCACACGTAATTAATGTGCCCCCTCCAAAAAACAGTCAATTATTTTCTATAACTCTGAGTAATAGAAAATCTTGGATTTTTCCAATTGAAGGTATACTGGGCTCTTCCAATTCCAACAGTCTTCTTTCAGTTTAAATGTTTCTTCTATTGAAAGTTCCATTCCCTATCAAGGGTGCATTACATGGTCTCACTAGATAAACATTCAGTCTTCCGGAGTTTCCATTCCCTCCTCAAAATGGTGGTTGGATGTATGAGAACTTGTTGTGTCCTTGTGGTACTGTGGGGAGTAGGTGATAACTGACTGTGTCTGTGTTATCTGGTGTCCACTGATGGTAGCTGTCTGGCCCACACCTGGGAATTCTACTGGCGTCTCTATGAAGTCTGTATTTGGTGTAACCTGTAGTCTAGTCTCTTTGGACTGGCCCCATCCTGGCTTTCCCTGGCATTGCCTTATCCCTGGCTGTGACTCCCATTCAATTCCGTACCTGGACATTACAGTTCTTGGCAATAAGGCCATGTCACCTCTGCAGCACTATCAGTTACTCCCTTGGTCGGGGAGGCTTAATACTGGACCAAACAATCCCAAAATCTCATTGGCTTAACACAGCAAAGGTTTATTTTTCATCCACACTAACATGGGGTTGCAGGAAGACTTCAGTTATTCATTGGTCCAGGCTCCTCCTAAATAGTAGGTCCTCCATCTCCTAAGGCCTTGGTTGCCTCAGTGGGTCCCCTACCTCTGCCTGACAGAAGAAGTTAGAGATCTATCTTCGATTAATTATGTAGCTTCCATGGGCTATTGAAATACATTCTCTAAGTTAACAGTCTTTAAATTGAGAATATGTACCCTGTGGATACATAAAGACTTCCAAGGGATACAGGGGCATGGATTTTTTTTTTTTTTTTTTTTTAGCGGTACGCGGGCCTCTCACTGCTGTGGCCTCTCCCGCTGCGGAGCACAGGCTCCGGACGCGCAGGCCCAGCGGCCATGGCTCACCGGCCCAGCCGCTCCGCGGCATGTGGGACCCTCCCAGAGCGGGGCACGAACCCGTGTCCCCTGCATCGGCAGGCGGACTCCCAACCACTGCGCCACCAGGGAAGCCCCAATATTTTTAAGGAGCTCAGTTTCCAGACTCATTAGCCTTTATATATATTCTTTCTTAGAATTGACTTGCCTGAGATCAAGGTGTCATGCTGGTTCTTCTTTCCCACCTCTTTTTGCAGAAATGTCCTTTTCTACCTCAAAAAAAAAAAAAAAAAAAGACATGTCTTTTACTCCAAATATTATGATGATGCCTTCTCTTGGTAAAATCCTCCATGGCACCAGACAAAGACAAAATTTCAAAATAATGATGTCAGTGAAACTTCTCACGTAAATTCTCACGTCTTCCTCTGTTTTCATACATTTTTCTGTTAAGGATGAAGTGGTGGATTAGAAAAGGGTTATTTTGCCCCATGTTAGGATAGTCTAAATATGCATTGTGTATGTGTATATATATATATATATATATATATATATAAACTGCAGGAAAGATAACTGCCTTCCTTTGAGACTTTATCTCATCCAGCCCCTGTCTATTATGAAAGACTATTTCTGGAGAGAAAATCTAGGGAAAGCAAAGTAAAGACAGTGCAGCTATTGATAAGACCCTGAGGTGTTACCTTATCTGGGCTAAGAGCTCATGGCAAGACTTTGCGCTTTATTTATCTTAGATTTCTAACTGAGCTTTGGGGATGAGTATTATCATGCTTATTTGAATTGCAAAATGAAGTCAGACTTTTTTTGAACATTGTCTTATTTGGATCATTTCTTTGACAATGAAGATTGGCTTTACCAATTAAGTTTTATGATGAACATTTTCATTCAATTGGATGAATTATATGTGCAACTCCAGTGTTCTGATTAAAACATGTATTCATATAAAGACATTTTAATAGAAAAGTAGTATCAACAAAAGTATGATGAAATTAACAATATTTTATTTTTCCAAACCTTACTTTGTATGCCAGGTAAAGCAAGGTGCCCGTAAGTGAAAGAGTAACAGGCAAAATTGATAGTCATTTTAAAAAGGAGTAGAGAACTCAAGTTTCTGGGTCTAGAAACACAACATGGCACTTTCACTCACATATCATTGGCCAGACTTATTCACAGGGTCCATCCTAACTGCAAGGAAGTCTGGGAGGTCTCCCAGTGTGCTCAGGAAGGAGAGGATAATGGACTACAGTGAGCACCAGCAATCTCTGTCAGATTTTCTCAGCACATATAGCTACAAAAGAAAGGGAGTGCGGGAATAGAATTCATGCTGAATCCTGGCTCATTCTAGCAATTTTTAATTAATATTAATTACTTTATTCTATGATACATCCATTTCATTAAGAGATGCATTACCTATAACATTTTAGTTTTATATATACTGATTATTTATTAAGCATTGTAATATATTCATGTTGGTCTGATCAACTGTGTGCTGATAGTAATTGAAATAGCAACTCAATACAGAAGAAAATGTATAACACTGCCTATGTTCACAGGGAAATTTTTAAAAATAATTTTAACTTATATACATATTTTACTACAGGCAAATATGGCAAGGAAATGAATAAAATAGTCTCAAGAATAAAAATATTAGGATAAAATTCTGTGTGGAGATTAGAATGGAAATACAAGACTAAACAGAAAAAGAAACAAGAAACTCTGACTGCTAAGAGCTTGTTTCTGTGTGTTTCTATCTTTAAATAGACTATGATAGAATTCAAATTATCATGGTATCACCAATCAAAAGAAAGAGAGCTCCTTGGTGAAGTGGTTGATTCCAGGTCTGGGGCAGGAAAAATACAAGATGAAACTGAAATATCTTGTGATGCTAGAAAGTAAGGAAATGCTTACAAAAAGATGGGGTCATGTCCAAAGGACATAGGACTAACCTGAAGGAGTTCCCAATGGCCAAAATTGGAACGCTTTGAGAAACAAAATAAAAATAGTATTGGATTTTAAGCATAGAATAAATATCTATGAATCCATATTAATGTAAATAAAATGAATGAATAAATAAGTAAATCGGGGAGGAGCAACAGTTCTTTTCTACAGAAGAATCCCAATTAAAAATGTAGAAGGAATGAGAGAAAAATCACCATTAGGAAAACACAACAGTAATCACTGTTACAGGCAAGATCCACCAGTGGGTGCTAAAATTCGTGGATGAATGTTTAAGGAGAAACGGGAAATGTTCATAGCTTTAAAATAGTGCCTCCAAAATAGTCATTAATTACAACTGGAAAGTACTAACTTTACAATGGAGAAAACTCTTTAATCGTGTAATCAAGGTTAACTTAAGCAGTAATAAGCCACATCAGTATCATGTATCCTCTAGAATGATGCCCTGAGAAGGGCACACGACTTTTTTGGTATCCACCCCAAAATAATGTATAATCCCAATTTAACAATAAAAAAAATCAGACAAATCCGAATCGACGAACATTACACAAAATAATTGATGACTTCATAAGTGTCCAGGTCATGAAAGATAAGGAAAGATTGAGGAAATGTCACAGATAGGAGGAGAATAAGGAGCCATGACAACTAAGTGCAAGGTAGAATCCTGGATTGGATCCTGGAATGGAAAATGCACATAATGGAAAAATGTGAAATTAAAATCTATAGTTAGTGGTACTGTATCAGTATTAATTTCTTAGTTTTAATGATTGTACTATGTTTATATATGTACCATTAGAGGAAGTTGGGTGAATGGTGTATAGGAATTCTCTGTACCGTGTTGGCAAATTTTCTGTAAATCTAAAATTATTTCAAAATAAAAAGTTAAAAATCTGCTATGGTATTAGATTCCACTGGATATATTGAAAGGGTAACATGACGTGTTTACTTTTAAATGTCATTATAATTTGATGAAAATTGCATCCTAATTATAAAAAATTTTAGATGTCAAATTAGAAAGGCAGGAAGCGATATACATTTTTTTTCAAAATTCTTTTAGGAAGTATGCAAGCAAAAATGTTTGAGGACTACTGCTGTATGACATTCTTTTCTCCTGCCCCAAATGAGAAGGAAGAAAAACCCAACTTTTCTTCAATCCGTCTATAACAGCTCACCCGGTGGAGGATTTGGACAAACATAGATCTTGTCAGCCACGGTTACTTCTATTTGCTTTCTGGCCTCTACGTTATTCTTTTATTTCACCTCCATAGCGTCTTATCAGCACTTCTAATTCTCTCACTTGTGCTTATCCACTACAACCTAATGGCTTAGTCTTCATGGTAGACAAAGTACAGAAGGGGAAAAAAACAAAACTTGCTTAGTTTCCTCTTTGTTCTTCGGGAACAAGCATTGGGAGGTATTTCAAAATGTTACATCCATCAAAATTCTTATTGCCAACATTTATAAGAAACTTTGTGGTGATTATTACTATACATGGTTGGAATCTTTATTCCCTCTTCCTCCACCCCTCAAAACAACGATAAAGAGCAACAATTGGCAGGGCCAAGTCCAGCCTGCTGCCTGTTTTTGTAAATAAAGTTATTGGAACACAGCCATCCTCATTCATTCACTTATTGTGTATGATCACTTCCAGGCTACAACAGCAGAGTTGAATGGTTACAACATTGATAAGCAATTCTGATCAGTAAACATTTATTGAGAGCCTACAGTGGCCCAGAGAGGGCCCTAGGTTCTGGAGCTGGCAGTATGAACAAAACCCCATCTCTGTGCTCATGAGGTCTCAGAGGAAGAGGAATATGTAAATAATAAGTATAATATAATGCAATACAAATATAAACAAGATGAAAAGAATCAGAAAAAAAGGGTACTGATTAATTCTGTCAGGTAGAGAAAGAAGTTTGACAGAGAGAGTAGTGCCTATTAAATAGTAGAAAATTTTAGATAAAACAGATTTCTTTGATATCTTTTTGAGTTAGAAAGTTTTTAGTTTTGGGCCAGTAATGAAGACAAGATATACCGAATTTGCATACACTTAACTTTTGAATCCTCAGAAAAAAGACAATCACAAGAATGGCAAACATTATTACCTTTGAACTAGGGCTAAATCTATTTAAAGCCAACTTGTTTATAGTTCTTCCTAGTTATTACTGGAGTGGAATGGAAAGGGTGAGTAAATCTGCATTGCTGATCATACCATGGCTTTATTATTTACTTCCATAAATAATTTCAGTTTAAAAATCTATATTATATCACGTGTTATATGAGCAACATAACACACATTACGGCCCTCTTAATTCTTAGGCATAAAAATATTGGCTTATATTGAAAAAAACTAAAGGTTTTATAATTGAACATTAGAAATAAACACTTAAAAGTTATATCTATTTTAGAAACATTGACTTAGCTGTTCATGGTTCTCTAAAGATGAAACTTTTGGTACCTTGGATTACTTACAAGAATTTACAGCGTTTAGAGTCTTATCTCTGATGTTTACAGCTCAGTATAAAATGACTGAAAACTCGGATTTGTTCACTTTTATATTGTAAAATTTGAAGTACAATAGTGTATGCAGTTTTTAAAATTCAGTTATAATATTCAGGCTTATATAAAAGGTTAATATTTTAGGTGTACTTATAAATATGTTGAACCATATGTTTTATTTCTTAAGTCAATTCCATTAGTACTGTTGTAATTTTAAAGTTTTTTAGAGAAAAATAACAGTGTGCCTAAATCTAAAATGCTAGATAAAAAAGTGAAAATCTGCATGTGTTTATAAAGCCTAATGAAGAATTCTAATTGCAAAAGAAAATCTGTAACCAAAGCCACAAAATGAGTACTATGTATACCAGTGACCTTCTTTACTCAGAGTTAATTAACACAAGCACTTGCTTCTTGCAGAGCACTTTGCTGTAATTTAGAACAAATTAAGGGAAAAAATCATTCAAGTGCTGTTTTCTTC